TAACATCACCCGTTACAAATGAGAGCAGTTCTGGTGATTTATCACTTTGCCTCTAAGCAGGCTGTCATGACAAGTACCATACCCAGCATGGGAGACAGCACATTATTGTCTTCGCTTCCTGAGTTTAAAAAGACATCGAGTGCTTCCTGGTCAGACATGTCCATTAGGTCCATCTGCTCCAGCATGTCCACGTTCACCTCCATGGAGGACATACTGCCAATCGGTTCTGCAGGAGAAACAGTGCAGTGAGCAAAGTGACAATCAGCTACACGATGTTATTACCCACCAAGGCTTCAGAGGCTGCTGGAATTGTGTGCTTTAACAATAATTAAACTTAGGGATGGAGGGAGCCCAGCCACAGGAGCTGCTCAGCAGCAACCTCAGCCCAAATCCAAGAGCACTCTCTGCAATCTTTGTTGTGAAACTAACATCYATTACTGCTTTTGTAAACCAAAACATTTTTAGCAATGGTATTTATAGCAATAACCTTCTCAGAAATAAGCTGAGATGGGACTCAGGGACAAAGATTGAAACTTTCCATTTTGGAACAGTCCTTTTCAATTCTCTGAACCAGAAGTCTTTTTAGAAAAAAMCAAACACATTTAAGCACACAATCCCTAAATGTCAATATACAGGGGACACAGAAATTCAGAAATGAGGATTAATGTTAACAGAGAACAGCTGTTCTTCCTCTCTCAATTATTTTAAGAAATGACAGTAGTCTGTGGAACCCAAGCTCACGCCCAGTATCTTCTGTCAGCATGRGGATTTCACATTATTAATTACTCAAGCAATTTACTGTCAATACAGTACTAACAGTTTGGAAGGGAAGTACATATTTGGATGAGCATCTTTTTCCTTGAACAGCAAAATATGCTAACAAAAAACAAGTAAAGTTCAGGGCCATTCAGGGTTAAATCTAGTTGCTGCATAATATCAAATATTACAATGAACAGCTTCCTGGTTTACCTAAATTTGACAATTACATTATTGAAAGCTTTTCATCGGTGAACTGGGATGAAATCCCATCATTTGACTGGGGTTTTTTTTCCAAATATGCTATAGCTCTGCAGTTTTATATCTACTGCAGGTCCAAATCTTTCATTWAAATAGTCACTTTGATACACATGGGTTCCACATTATACTAAAGAGCCTCTARCTGTTACTGTTACTGTACTGTTAGGCAGCCTAACAAAGCTGTGTCCCCAGTACACATAGCTCATGACAATGCCCACTTTTAGTCTAATATACCATTACAGAAAGCTGGAGACTCAAATTCAGTTCCTCCTCTGATTGTGAATTTAGATTTGCACATCCCACCTCTCCCTAGCCACCCATGCAGAGCATCTTGCAGATGAGTATTTATAGTACTCATGCAGAGAAATGGAAAMCTTGGATTGTATTCCCTGCTCTGACATTACAAACGATAGCAGAACTGCACTTGGAGCAGGGATAGAATCTCTACATTTTTTCCTGCCACATAAATGCATAATTTCCCACTGGCTTCTTTACTGGTCCAACASTCCCTGAATTTTGGCCCAACAGATGGAAACCTCCCACACAGAAYTGCCTGTAGTTTCTGGCATCCTAGTGCTTTAACCAGTCCAGAGATGCCAGACCTGCATCATCTCATTAATGAGGAGAGCTCTTAATGAGACCTCCTGTGTCCTAATCACTGCCAGTGGGAAAGAGCTGCCACCTGGGAAYTGCTCTCAAATACTACACTGAGCTTTACTCTGCACTTCTCAAATTTTTCTGAGGCATYTCCTTGTCAGGTGACAATCCCAGGCTTTGGAACTCCAGTGAACAAAGTAGCTGCCTCCATCCATATCTTTATATAGATGCATTCTTCAGCTGCAGAAAAAAACGCTACTCTAGATGTAGTTCAGTGCTCTGCATTTCCTCAGACTAGGAACAGAGCCTGACTAATTTTCTAAGGTACCCAGTACCCCTGGGACAGAGAGTTTGTTAAAAAGCCTTATCTGAAGTCCCAGTTCCAAGGAAGAATTTGGACATTTTTTGCAGTGGTTCCTTTGTAAGGATTAAAACCACTGCTGACTCTGCCCCCTCAACAACACTCTCCAAGTTGGGAGTTTGTGCATTACACAGAAAGGTATTTTACAACTTGCCTCTCCTCTCTGCTATCTGCAAGTATCCTGTGGAAAGGTATTGCTCCATGTCCTGCTGGAAGGCTTCTTCAAAGAACTTCTGGCGCTCCTTTAGCTTCATCTGCTGGGTGTGCTCCATGTCCAAAACCTTCTGCGCATGTTCAGCATCGAGTTCAGCTGGGCACAAAACAAACAAACAAACAAATCAAATATTGCAGATGTATTGCCCCAAACTCCAWCTTAAAACCTACAGGACCAGTGCAAAACAAACTGACAGACTGTTACTACAGACTGTTAACACAGGSTGCAATAAAAGCAGGTCTCTCTATTTTAAGCCAGGATAGAAATACTCTATTAGGCAGCATAACCTTAACATTAAAGTGATGTCATAACTATTTATCTTCAGGCAAGATGCAAATTTCCTGAGCTGTATAAGCAGGAACACCTGAGAATATTATCCATCAAAAACTGGAATTTCAGATTCTGCCAAAAAAAAGCTCAGATATTAATGCTTCTGGAGTCATAWGCACCTAGTGCACACAAAAGCAACTTTTCATCTGAAGACTGCAGCACATTTCCGCCACAATGCAAGTGGGAAGATACAAATATATACTTCTATGTACACACATATAAATACACATACATATATGTGTGTGTGTGTGTGTGTGTGTGTGTGTGTGTGTGTGCCTGAGATTGTGGCTTTGTCAGCCTTCAGACAGAATGGAAAAATCCCTTGAAGAATATCCTACAGATACATGCAGCAAAGGAAACAATAGAATATCATTAGAAGAACTTCTTCCCCCCTTTTTTTTTGCTCTAGACTGGACAAGGAGAAAAGAAATTGTATTCTTTATTGAAGAATAAAATCTTCTAGAAGAAAAAGATTTGGTTGCTATTGAAATACTCATTGCAGCCAGAATGTTAGAATATGCTTCAGAAAATTTGCTCTTTAGGAGGAATATGTAATCTAGAACCCTTTTCCCAGAGTTCTCTGTTCACTTTCCTGGTCTCATGAGCACTCTGCTTGTGATAAAAAAGGAATTTTCTAGCTGAGCTGCTGATAGAAGGGAGGGGGTGGCAAGAAGAGCTGCTGGTCTGTTCCATTCTGCCCATTAGGGAAAGCTCCAGCAAATACCACTGGGTGAAAAATGTCCAAGCTTTCACAYGCCAGACAGACTCAGCTGGAATATGGCATCCACATGGATAAATGCTGAGGGAATGTAAGGTTTTCTAGGACAAGCACYGTGTCAGTTTTCCAGGAAAAATGTTACGTTAATGATATTTTACAGCACAGAAATTCATTAAAAGCATTTACCATTATGGAGATTATTAYCCAAATGCAAAACATGTTTTATTAAACCAAGCAAAGCATCAGAGAGCAGTTAATACACTCTGTTGCCTGCATCAAGGTCACAGATCATACACAGAGACAACTGAGCTGTGGTAGATGCCAAAAGAAGCCAGGAAACTGGACTGACACACCAGATATTCATTRAAATATTAGTAAACAAGGGGAAATCTCTTTCTTAAAGGAGATTTCAGAAATAAGACATCAGTGTATAAAAAGGAAAGTATCTTCCCTGAAGGCAACATGTCTTTATTATCAATTACACTGTGGTATATGATGACTCCATGTCCCCTGGAGCAATTCCTTTACTACAGTCCTGGATGATGAGCAATTATTAATAACATTGTCTATGATGCAGAAATGCTATTCAATTGTAATAATAAAAGCCAGAGGCTCCCACTGACAATGGGAATTTTCTGTCTCTCTCTTAATATATTCTGACAGTTTTGCACTCTAGATTAGTAATTCAGGGTATTTGTAACCCCAAAACAGAGATGGTATCCAAGTGACATGAAACTGATACAATTTCTTTCTCAACACTGAGTGGTTTGTTTTTAACTTTTGCCTAAAATGCCCTGTTAACTGCTGAAATTGTCACTGGCCAAAGCTGAATGGCAACAGCTGCCTGCTGTGTTGACATGTTCCACAGGAAAATGTAAATATGAGACTGAAATGGTCTCATGGACTTGTGCTCCAAAATCAGATGGAGAATTAACATCTAGAASCTTGCTGCGTGATTTCACACCCTGYCAGGTGTCATCAAATGTGCTTGGCTAAGCAAAGCCGAACTGCTACATTTGGGGTTTCTGTTTGTTGTCAGACATGCTAAGGATGGGTAGGTGAAGCCAACAGTCAAACGTGAAACCAAAGAAAATAGGCACATTATTTCTTTTAAAAGCTATTCAGAATTACATTTTCCATAAGCCAAATGTAGTTTATGAAACACTGAATAGAGACAGCACCAAAGGAGCTCCAAGAAAGACAAAAGTATCATCCATATGCCACCCAACATTGGTCATAGACATTCTTCCCAGAATGTAAACTGAGACTTGGCACACTTAAAATACTATTGTATTTTTCCTTTCACCCTAAAATTGTACTTTTCAATTAGCTACTGCACCTATTTCTCTACCACACTGCTGTGCATAGGAAAAAAAAAGACTACACAGAAAATGCTAAGGCACAATTWGATGCAGACATACAGGAGTTGCCCCAATAACCAAAATAAAAGATGACTAATTCCCYACCAGCTATAACTTTTAAGAGAACAGGCACTAAATGCAGACAATTTTTTTMTTAAAAAGTGAACAGTCATGCGCTGAGGCACAGCCTTCTGCACCATGCCCAGGAACAGTCCCACAGCTCACCCCCCTCGCCATCAAGGTACAACCCAAAGCCTAACTCCTCTGACCTGTATCTTCAGTGTTTGAACAAAACACCAGGAGAGCCCAAACTCCAAAGGAACAAATTACAATAGCTCACAACCATACACCCCAAGTGTAGAGGACACCATTTCCTGGTATYACTCCCAGGCCTGGGTGACACTTCCTAAAATTTAAAATCTGCTGCAGTACCTAAGGTTTCTATCCAACCAACGAAGTAACCATTTAATGCTTTAATCTAAAACATTTTCCACCCATGCACAACAGATTCCCAGAATAAGTTAGAAGAATAACTACAAAAAAATAAATTAAAAAAAAAATCAGCAACTGAAAACAGTGGTTGTTTACATGGCCAGCATATTCCTTAGACCCGAGATGARAGATGTCAAGCTGTCCAAATAGATGGCTTTTTGGTGCTCTCAGACTGTTACACAACCAGTTTACTTCCCTTCAATTAATTTATTATGTAACTTTATATCTCATGTGAAGTAGAACCCATAAATGCATCTGGCCTAAAGASAGAAAGACCTAGAGGAACACAAAAAAATGCCACTTTTTCCTCCCTCTACCGTTCATTTGCTATTTGTAGACTCATCCAACCAGACCATGAAATGCATGCACACATTCTTTGTGGGATTTTTTGCTTTTGCTACAGATATCAAAGTTTCAAGCAGCCCCTCACTGAACTCACTCCTGCTTTTTGATGTTCCTTCTGGGCTGGACACAGCATGAAGACAGGCAGGGTACATGATAATCCCTTCCCTTGATCTCCTGGCCACGTTCCCATTCACATGGCCCAGGGTGCCCRGGCCTTCCCTGCTGCCAGATGTGCTGCAGGCTGGCACCAGCTTGCTGCCCACAGGAGCCCCAGGGCTTTTCCATGGAGCTGGGGTCATTCTCAAGCTCAGTGCAAGAGCCCTCCATCTCCTCTGGGACAGAGTGGTGGCTTCTGGCCCCAGCCCCCAGGAAGGGCATGACCCATAAACACCCCACTCCCACCCAGCTGGTCCATCCACCTTCTGTCCAACCATGCAGACTGTAACATCACCCCTTGGCTGCAGGAACACTGTGAGATTGTCAAAAYCTATCAGTAAGCTGGCTACTCAGTGAACAACCAAACCTCCTCAAAAATCAGAACTATAAAATCATAAAAGCAGACAATGAAAGGCAGACAGCCAAGAAGCTTTTCAAGTGCATTATGACTTAGCAACATAACTGCAACTGCCTCGTTACAGACCCTTTCAACTAAAAATATCAAAGCAAGACAAGACACTGGGGAGTGCTTCAAAGATTGCAGTCTTCCTCAAAAATGTTTAATTTATACTTGACAGAATCTAGAATACATGTAGATACTGTAAGGGAGGATGTGCAGAGCACTTTGGCACTGTAAGTTGCTGACAGGTGAGAGAGTGTGTTGGCAAAACTTGGGGATAAAAAAGTAGAATAAGTGATCTAGGTGCACACAGACTTTCTTCCACATAAGATGTTTCCTTTCCATGCAAAGTAAAAGAAGTGAAAACTACAAGATCTAGCTGTTTTTAAACTGTTTTTAAACTTTAACAGTCTCTTTACAAAGCAATTTGCTTTTACCAAAGGTATATTCAAGTAATTACAATTAAAAAAAATAAGTCCTGATTCACTAGAATGTGAAGTCAGGATTTCACACAGTGACAGAAAGATCATCTGTGTTGGAAAAAATATGCACTCTTACAAATGAGATTTACTGTCTCAAAAGCCTGAATTTTCAAGAGGAAATGTTGCACTAAAATTAAGATTATAAAAAAAATCAGTCATTAAAAATAACTGTATGTTCTTCTTGATAATATCTGCCTAGGGGTTTTATAGATTGCATCCGAATATGAAAGTTCTAAGTAGCCCACAAACAATCTAGTCAAGAGGAAAARCAGAGGTTTTACCAGTGCAGAGAAATTATTTTTAACATTCCCAGCAAGCAGTATCAACAAGTTGGCTTATCTTGAATATTCTCTTTAAACAAACAAATTGCTTACTTGAAATCCTTGGAATATAAAGGATAAGCTTAAATAAATATCAGAATAAACCACAGAAAAGAGCTGCCAGGATTCCAGTTACTGAGGCACCACCTGGAGGAAGAGGCAGCTTCTGACCAGTTCCACAGGAAATAGCTTYGGAAAAGGTTTCCACAGAACTCCAAACTTTATCTGGCTACCAGGAAATCATCATAATTAAGAGAGACTAAAAATACATTCCACCAAAGAGCAAATGAGCAAAAGTRAGTTCTAAAAATGTAAATACATCTAGGATTAAAAAACCCCAGAAATTAAAATGACATTTGTGATTAAAAATACACCATGCTGAGGGACTGCTGTGCAAGGTGTTCCACACCACCACAGTGGACTCTCAGTTTAGAACTAGAKCTACTGTGGTTTAGAAACAGTAAGAATATTTTTGTCCACTTCATTTGTCAC